AAGTTCTGGTAATTCACGTATCAAAGTTTGTAGTCTTTAGAGTCGGGTAAAGAGTCCGATTTCTGGTAGGATGTATTTCGTGGGGACTCATCCCTGACAGACTAGTTTCCTCACTTGTTCCATATTACGATGATCGATAAATAAGGAGGTCACAGTAGCTGAGTTTCTTAAAAGGAAAACTCCTGCATTTAGTTGAATGTAAGTGGGTCAGCATTTGGAAGATTTCCTGTATTGTAACACGGTACCTTTAAATGGACATACCCTTAAATGTTATTGGAATTTCAAGTATTCCTTGCTTTCTTTTCCTATTGTTCCATTGCCGCGTTTTTGTGACTATTTGAGATAAACCGAGGAATAGAATGATATTTAAGAGCTGTTACCGTTGTCAAAAAAAAAAAGACATTTAAGAGATAAAGAAGTTGATTTTGAGAAAGTATGTAGCTGTTTGAGAGATATCTAGTTTGCACCCAAGGGTGTGATATAGTGGTCAATAAAGTGGAAGAGAACCACAAGTCTCAAATAACAGGTTCAAGGTGCACTCCAGCTCATCGCCACCACCATTTTTTTGAGAATGGTACTTTTCATTTAAACACAAAAAGGTGCTGATGGGTGTAAAAACAAGATACAATGTCCAAACCAGTAGCATAAGCACACCCCCCTCCCCCCACCCCCCCACCCCAAAAAAAAAAAAAACTTATAGGGATGGTACGACATCAAGTATGGATTCATTATCATTTACAGAACATCCTTCACTCCAAGAAAAGGAAAAGACAATATACAATTAAATTTGATTCTCTGTGTAGTGTGCTTTGCATCCTCAAAATACCTACAATTCTTTTCTTCCCAAACCGTCCATCAAATGCATGCAGAGATGACTTTCCACCAGTTCTTTTGCGTTACACCTTCAATTGGGCCATTCCAGCATCTCAGGAGATCCATTGTCTTCAGTAACCACCACAAAAAGCTAGTTTTTGAGTATTTCATTAAAAATTCTAGTTCTATTGTATTATCAAATGAAGGGATGGAAATGTAAGGACTGGTCTTCAGTATATCATCACAAATTATGTGACAGATTGAAAAAAAAACATTTACATGTGGTAAGGAACAAAATGCCAGAAATTGTATGAATGACAGGGTTTAGACTGTTGTGCCATGTATATATGAATACAAGATAAGTGGGCACATGCAAAAATTAATATTTGGACGCCACTCTATGAGATCATCAAATTACTGAACAAGTTCTGTTTTTGATAAATATATGACACTTTTTTAAGTTTTCCTCATCTAAGTTCCAAGGCTAATTTCTATTAGTAACTTCAGTACTTTTTATAAGGATTAGTAACCTCAGTACTTCAACAGCATGTAGTTTCTATTTCGAGTTCATTTCATTAAGAAGTTCCTACATGCAGAATGCTCTTGCTTCAAATGGATATTTGGTTATTGAAAGGCTGAGATCTGAATTTGTTGCACTCATCTATTTTGAAAGGTAAATGTAGGGATCAAACTGATGTTACCTAGATGATAAATTTCTTATCCATTGGTAACCTCTTCTATCCCTTTAATGAAGTCGGTTAACTTGCAGCCATGTAAGCTGATTTAGTCTTCTAGAGCTTCTGGGTTGAGTTTCTTTTCTTGTTTTCTAATTGGTCGTGTTGACAGTGTCTTTCTCCTTTTCAGGGGCCAAACGTTATCTATAAAGTCCTCAGAATAAAGAAATTAGACAGTTCTCTTTGCTAAATATTCTTTTGTGCTGCTGCGTCTCCAGACAGTAAAGGAATAGCTAAGCATTCAGTGAACTGAATTTTTCTTGGAAACTGTTGATGAACAGCTTCAATTGTTGGGCTAATGCTCGATTTCTGAATGTTGATTTGGACTACTTTTTCGTATTACTCTTAATCAGTTGTATATTTGATTTATAAGATAGAAGTTGGTGTGTGTGTGTTGGTGGGGGGGGGGGGGGGAGGGTTCATATATTGTGCATTTCTCTTCTGTAACCTAGAATGAGTTTGTGATTTACAGATTTGCTCGAGCTTGTTAGGTGGAATGGAATGTTTGATTTGCTTGTTTTCATTTGTATCACATCCGATGCAAGGAGTTAAATGTTTCTTTTATCCTGATACCTTTTGTTTGTTGATATTGGTGAATGGAGTTTATCTGTTTGTGGGAAGACTAATTTTTAGGATTGTATTTCCCCCTATTTGCTGATTTTAAAATGTAGTCAACTTAAATAAAATTTGCACTCTGTAGGAAGTTATAGTTCTGGGGGTGCTTGAATACTGTTATGTAGAATTTAAGTGAAGTGTTTCTCTCTTTAGTTCCCTTTCCTTGCTTTTGAACTCGATTATTCTGTGGTCTCGGTGGTCGGAGAGTTAGTTTACTTGTCTACATCTAGCAATTCACTACACAAATATGCTCATTGTTCTTGCTCAGTTAGGTCAGTGAAACAGAGTTTTATCTTCCTTTTCACATCCGTTCCTTTGATAGTTGTATCATCAGATTGGTTGCAATAGAAAGAATTGATCTTAGAAATGATGAGATTTTACAAGACCTTTAAGGTATGACTTAGCCAGCTTAGTGACATATTTGGCGAGGAAGCACCTAAAATCAGCAGCAAGTTAAGAATGAAAATTAATATTAGAAGAAAAAAGGAAGAAGCTAAGGTCACCAATCTGATCAACTTCACTCCATGAAACTTCTGGCAGTCTTGAAGATGGTGCGCTTCGTGAAATACCATGGTGTTGGTCTATGGTGCTCGGATTCTTAAAAAATTGTGCTGCACCTGCGGGTTCTTCAAAAATACACTAGTTTTGGAGAACCCAACACAAACCAGTTGAGCTGAGTTTTTTCCCCTTTATTCATATGATTGTAGATAGTTTGGGCAGTATCTTCCATTCATACATGCGTATAACAAAAGTCTGATCAACCATTCACTTTATCAGTAATTTCAACTATAAGATCAAGCGACATGTAACTTAGAGCATGCCTCTTTCATTTCTTAATAGCTTCTTGTATATTTCTTTCTTCAGAATTATGAATCAGTGTAAACGCGTAGGATGCAGGCACCACAGTTCATTTAACTATTTAAGCTCCTTCTCCTGAAGATATTTGTTAGAGCTATGTGACCATCTCATCTAAAAGCTTAAACTATTAGATAGAGCACAATTCTATTTAGTTAATTATGTTTTCAGCATTTAAATGTGGAAAGGTCCTGCAAAAGCTGGTCTTCCGCAATTTGCCTTGAGTATTTGCAACTGCTGTAACTTGTTTCACCCTTTTGGTATTTTTCATGCTTTCACCCATAGGCTTGTATCTTTTTCATTTGTTTCTCTGGAATCTAGTTATTCATTTATAGGGATTTGGGAAATGGATGATTTTGTTTGATGGTTCTTTATTTTTTGCTCAGTATTGATTAATTGAATTTCGCTCATCATGTTACATTTGGACTTGATTATATTTGAACTCCTTTAGGTAAAAAAAATGTCATCTTGCATTTCATTTTCTTGCTAATCTCATCCACCTTCTGTTGCATTATGCAAGTTGTCTGATTCTTTAAAGCTTCACTAGTATGTAGGCTGTGTAGCACCCTAACCTAGCAGTTTAGCACCCCTTCAGTCCCAATACAAGTTAGAGCCTCTTAAAAGACATGACTTTACACAAATAGCCGGTCGGATTCACTGTTTACATTTCCTAGACAGTATAAATAGATTATACACAATTATTCACATTATATATGTATGTGTGTGTGTGTATATATATATATATATATTGTTATTATTTTATTATACATATATTTGTGTATCTGCTGGCTATTTTTAGTTCAAGTGGTTGGCTCTGCGGTTATTTAGGTTATAACAACATACCCATGTAATACCACAAGGTCTGGGTAGGGTGGTGTGTATGTAGTAGACCTTACCCCCTGCCTTATGAAGACAGGAAGGTTGTTTCCGAAAGACACTTGGTTATTTAGGTTAATTCTTCAATTTATCGAGTAGAGTAGTTATAGATTATAATTATTTGTAATTTAAAGTAGTTGAATTTGTTGAAAAGATGTCACATCAAATCAGAATTTGGAAATAATAATAGTTTGAACTGTTGGAGAAAAAAAAAATATTTCCATAAATATGTCAAACTTTTCATGAAGCACCTAATGGGGAAGTAGGTATAACTAGATGGTGTGGAGAATATAATAATGAATGTAAAGCCATTCTTAATTCTGGAATAGTTTCTGATTTGGTCCATGGAACTCTTCTAGTCTATATTTTTCCTGGAAAAGTAATACAAGGGGAATTGGATGAGTGATAAAGAAACATTTCTGCCAGTTCACTTTTGAAGTTTGTGAAAACTTTTTCCCATACAAGTTCTTTCTATATCTTTTGGTTCCATTTACACAACTTTACCCTCTTTACTTTCATGTGTCATGATAAATAGCCACTTACTCACTTGCCCTAATATATTTTAGTGTATAGATTGCAAGTTGATAGCTAAGAGTAAAGCTAAAATCTTAAGTTAGATGTAGATCTGTCATTAGAAAAGGAACGTTCAACTTTCAACTCTGCTTACTACCACAACAGAGGATTGATTAGTTCTCTTTTCAAAATCTTCATTTTCATTTGCTTTGGGTGCTTACTCTTGCACTTAAGATGAATAAATAAAGCTGTCCTGTCCCTAAAAGTGTTAACACAGTTCAGCATGTCTCAATATGCATTAGTGTTGACGTAAGTTTTAATTTGTAAACCAACAAAACTTTTCACGTGTTTGTCCTAATAACAAAGCTTTGGTTGTTATGCATTGCAGAATAACTTGACAATGTTGGGAATTCTTCTTCAGTATTTGCAGAATCACTTGGATCATGCCTCAGATTGTGAAAGAATTATTGTAGAGTTTGCAGCACAGAGCATGCATAAAGTTTTGAAGCAAATTTGGATCACAGACCTTTGTGCATATCCGAACTATTTGGCTAGAAAGAAATAACTCTCGTTCTGATGGGCTAAAAGACCATATTTCCAGAGTTAAAAGCAATTGTTTACATAATTTGTTTTTTGGTGTAAAAGTAGTTTCATTGATAATATAGATCAATATATGGAGTTGCTAAGGAGATGTTGTAATTGACTGTATAGATATTCCCAGCAATGTTTTGCAACTTTTTGTTTTGGTACTTGGTCAATAAACCTTTACCTTGTCAAAAAAAGATTATGTCTGCATGTATGATGCTGTGTTTCAAAATTAATAGATGTGTCCAATTTCTAGTGATTTAAGCTTTTAGATTTGCAAGTTTACATGATTCAACATCGACTCTTTTGTTTGGTTAACAGAATGTAAGAAGAAAAAGGGGTCTTGGATCTGGCACAAAATTGAGACTGTTTAACCTCCTCTATCTAGGAGGTACTCCTTGCTACATTATTGTCCTGCTGATTAATATCTCTGTGTGGAGCCGTTGGGCTGTATGTCAGATGCTTTATTCAACTTTTGGCTGCATTACTAGTTCTTTTCTGTTGCCCGGATGGATGCTTCCTCTCTTGCCATAAACGTTTATGCATGTTTTCTCTACCTGGAACTCTGATAAAGTAATACATCTTGAGCTGCTTTACAAATCTGTTGTTCCGAGTGTGTGACAGTTTGACGTACATTTTGGTCTAGTAACTTCAGTGCAGTTTATTTCAGTGCCAGAGTGTTGGTTGTCAGTGCTCGACTGATTTGAGATGTTAAAGGCTTTGTGCCTTCAATTTTAGCTTCTTGCTCTGCAGATTGTTATTGAATACTTGTAGTTGTTGGAATCTATTTAAATGATAAAATAAAATGAATTGTGATTTCTTGCATAAAGAAGTAATGCTCAACTTCATAGGTAATGGTAATGAATTTATATTCAGTAGTATACAACAGGTTATGAATATATAGATGTCAACATTCTAAACATGCTTTGTGATTTTGGACCTTCAGAAGCAGATTGAGATACGTCGATTTTCTGGTAATGTAGCACATCTAATGACACTATTGAAGATGTTCTCATCACAGGGAATCCATAATTTCGAATCAGCAGTGAATTCATAAACTTCTTGAGCTTGATCCAGCAATGCCTTGAAGAGCGGATGCTTTAGCAAGGTAATTTTGATTACAAATCTCTTTTGGTACTTCCCTACGTAAACTACCACATGGCCTTTCGGAACATCCCTTGGGATGGACTTCTCTTCTTTTTCAAAAGGCCACATAGTCCATTTGTCGCAGCACGCTGATGAAGGTATAACCTTGCCACCCATCTTTTGCCATTTATTTTGGCATGCCTTGAGAAACTTACTGTCCATCATTTTCATATGCAGGAATTGGACCACTATGATAAAAACTCAAGTGAGAAGAGAAAGAACAGTGGTGTTGTCTGTGAGACTGAGACAGGTATATATATATATATATATATAATAGTTTGGGAAGTTTTAACATTAAATGCTGGCAACTGGCTAACTATAAGTGTGACTAACGCGTGTGCATAGCTGTTTCTTTCTTTAATGATAATGCATCCTGATACGATCATGTACGAACATACATTGCATGATTTAAAGTCAATATACATGTTCAGATTGTGCCACAAAAATCTGTGTTATCACTCTCTCTTCCTTTGTTGTGTCCCAGGGTGGGGATTGATGCCAGATAAATAATCTGTTCAAGTCTTGAATATTTAGACCCCACAATGGTGAATTGAGTAGATAAGATAGGAAAGATGAATTGGGATAAGCTTCTTGAACACAGTGCTATGCCCATTTCCCACTTGTCCATCTTATATTAGATAACTAATTAAGTAATGGATATTTGAATCATGTTTCTGTTAAACTTTGAATGATCAAGAAATCAGAAATAGTCAGGGATGCAGCTACGTGTATATCGAAGGATAGTTAGTTGAACACTCATACTATGCATATAGGCCAAATGTTACGTATGGAAGTATTCTTGAACACCCTCATTGAAATTTTTAACTTCGCTACTGGCTTATGACACCGATGAACTTCATCTGTGGTGTATATATCATTCAATTAGCTATATTTTGTTCATTAATTTGTGTTATAGAAAAGAATAAACCAAAGTTTCATTTATTTATGAAGATGACACTTTTTTCTTTTTGTTTACTCTCAAATTATTATCTTGAAAAGAGAGCACTGCCGTACAGAGGTTAATCTTTATGTAGCCACATAACTTTCTCTGACATTAAATATTCCAAATTTTAATACATTGCATGTATAGACTATAGTATTCTTTGAGCAACTTTTGTATTTGATGATGCATGATGGAACAAACTTTAAAGTGTTGAAATATAAAAATACTGCACATTTGCAGGTTGCAGTATATTTGCAGTGATTTCGAGGCATTAGTGCAGTTTCACAATGGATGTATCTACTTATTCTATATTCTTTTGTTTGCCATAATCTTTTAATTCTGACGACGATATAAAGAATTTTTACGTTAGCAAGTATAACGACTACTTAGTCGTGTGAGTTGTTATTAACAGATCCTCGACTTAAAGAGATCCTTTCTCGCGTAGTTACGTTTTTCGAGTTTTTTTTTTCCTGAAACTTGACAAATTTGAGGGTTGAGAGTCAAAGAAAACCCATCTCCAATGATTTTTGGTGTTTGTTCATAAATTTGATGTGATATAGTTGCAGTAGCCAGAGTGTATTCATCCTCTAAAGACAAGTACATTGTGCATCTGGAAGTGTTAATTTTATGGACACGTGGACGTTGACAAGAAGAACACGTAGTCACTGACCACACAAATTAAGAAGAAATATTCAGTTGCAAAATTAATCAATCATTTGTAAAATGATTTATCTAACTATCCAATCATGAAATGGACCTCTTATAAATGTGTAAGATACTAAGGCAGAACTAAGAAACTAATGTTAAAAATATCCAAACTCGTATTCCCGAAAATTCATGGACTATAAAAGATTAGGAAAATTTTAAAATTCTTATTTTGTGAAATCTAAATACTAAAAAATCGGCATGAATCTTATAAAGGTTTATGATTATCATTCACTAGGTCATTTCAATAAATCTCAAAATTCATAGATTAATGCATGCGGAAAAATAGGAAAATCCTAAATTATTATTTTGTGAACCCTAAACACTAAAAAATGGTCTGGTTTTAGTAGAGGCTATGGATATCTTTCACTAGGTCATTACGAATGATCTCAAAAATTTGAGGTAAAAAAATGCGATTAATATTCATATTTTAAATTTTCATGGAAACACGAAAAACTGAAATTTTTGATTTCTGCATTAAGACTGGCAACGGCACCGGTAAGTCCCGGTTACTGGTCCGGTCCGATTCCGGGACAGATAACGGGATGGAAACCGAGATTTACCGGTCCCTCCCAATTCCGGAATACGACAAATTTACTTGTACCGGTTCGGTCCGGTCTCGGTTTCAGAACGGTACCGCTTCGCACAACACCAATTCCGTCCCGGTTTCGAAACTTACCGGTCCGACTCACCTGCCATACTTAATTTCGTGATCCCTCAACACTAAATAAAGTGTGGTGGATCCTTTAATATCTGGGAGTATTGTTCACTAGGTAATTACGAATAGCCTCAAACAATTTGTAAGTCAAGAAAATATGGTCATGCATATTCGAAATTATCATCGACTAGTACACACAAAAATTTGCGAAAATTCTAAATTCTTATTTTGTTATCCCTAAACGCTAAAAAAAATCGTATGGATCATGTAGAGGTGACGAGTCACGTTCACTAGGTCATTAAAGATGGTCACACAAAATTTTGATGTAAAAACAAACTCGATCAGTCACATTCTCAAACATTCATGTACTAATACGCATGAAAGACATATATAATCTTGAATTCTTATTTCGTGACTCCTAAATATCAAAAAAAAATAAAATTGTGTAAATCCTGTAGAGGCTATAAATATCGTTTACTAAGTCATTACGAATGAGATGAAATAAAACATTAAAAAATCTTGAATGCGAATTTTGCAGAGTCTATTAAATATTGTTAACTAGATTATTATGCATTGTCTCAAAAATTCTGATCAATTGTATTCTAAAAAATTTATGAACTAATACATAAAAAATTGAGAAAAAAATCATAAATTTTTATTTCATAGTGCTATTGTGTGAATCTTCTGGATGCTATCGATACATGCAATGGACCATTACCAATAATTCCAATATATTTGGGTCAAAATCAAGTTAGTTATATTTTTTAAAAATTCATCAACTAATATACATTAAAAAATAAAAAAAAAATGAATTTTCTATTTCGTAATCCATGTTTAAAAAAAAAAAAGTACCATGAATCTAATAGAGTCTAGAGATAATGTATATGTTCACTAATCATTATTGATCTCAAACAATTTGGGATTAAAAGAATCTAATTAGTAATATTAAATTATTTTTAAGTATAAGAAAAGTAACATTTTCTATAAGATAAATTGAAAAGAAAAATATTTTTTATATATTGAAACAAAGAAAGTAATATCATAACTCGTTAAGTCGACGAAGATCGATTATAATTGAAGTGTCAACAAGTCAAGAAATGCAATGTAATTTCTTTATCATTTACCTAATTTTAATAAATAAAATTATCTTATATAAATATTGCTAAGAAATTAACATAAAATTGAGATCCATATAAAACTAAAACTAACTTAAACAAGAAGAAAAATAATAAAGGACAAGGAGAAGAGAGATCTTTACTCATAAAACATTATTAAAAGGGAAAAGAATATTTGGTCACATATTATTAAAAATATATAATCATATAATATAATATAATATAATATAATATAATATAATATAATATAATATATAGATTATAATAGCATTATATGTGCCTTGCTACCTACAAGCATAGATATTTTGGAACATACCACAACAATATGGTGTCTTAATCAAGGAAACCTTTGGTGGTTATATATTGAGGAAGTTTCCAAGCAAAATTAAAAGTCAAAATCTAGGTTTAATTAATTATATTATTTTTTAGAGAAAAAATTCTTATTAAATATTTATTAATATTCCTTGAATATTTTTTTTAATTAAGCAAAAGACACCTATATATAAAAAAGGATTGAATATACACCTTGAGAATCTAGTATAACCACCACACCCACTACTCACAATTATAATATTAATTTTTTAAGAAAATTATTTATTTATACTAGACCAATATTTTCATTATCAAGAAAAATAAATTTTGCAATATTTCGTACCAATTAGGTTGAATTTTGAATTCGCCCCGAGAGTTTTTTTAGCACTAAGTGATATTGGATTGTCTCTGCAGAAAGTATTCATATTTCCTGAAGAAAACATGTTCTTTGATCTCTAAGATATTACGTAAAACTCTGTATAAATCTTCAATCACCAATCCTTGCATGAATATGAGTTGTGCTCGAGAGGCTATGAATCGATTGGACCTGTCAATCGAATGAATCATAACACTCATAATGATCTCGGACAAACTCTCATAAAAAGAGATTTCTATTGTATGACACGAATCAACACTAATCAAGTCAGTAAATTTCGAATATCAATATTATCGAAAAAAGGACATGGTGGGGAAGGGGGTGGGTTGAGCATTGATGAAAGAGTAATGAAGAGCACATGAAGAATTGGACCTACCACCCAAAGCCCACGGGGTAGAGGGAGCAAACAAGCATGTTGGGCAACACTTCATCGTTATAAGAGATTTTTACAAAAAAAATTATATTCGTTCATCAAAATAATAATTGATATATATATGAGTTATATAATTATTTTTAGTTGATCGGCTAAATATTATCTATTATAAAATGCAAAACAAAGCCCACCGGCCAACTCAGACAGAGATTTACATTTAATTTCAAAAAATGATTTGATTGGACTCGTGCTCTTCTATTCCACGAGTAATATTTACATATATTTCTAAAAAAATATAAAAGATTAAAATTATTGAATTTAATTAAACTCGTAACTTATAATGCTATGGTTTTAATTAATGTCTTTATAAGCCGTGATGAATTTCACACATAAAATGTTTCATGTTAATTTAAAATATAATTTGAGACGATCGATGAAAAGTGATTATTCATCGTAAATATTTTCTAACGAGTTTTTTTAATCATAGATTGATTGATTGATTTCTACTAGTGTATGTTTTTTGCAAAATTGATTGCTTTAGTCTATAGATCACCTCTCCACCTATTTGTACGATCGATAATTTGACAAATCAAAAAATAATAGTTATTAATTTTATTATAAAAATAAAATAAAATATAAGGTGCCCATTCTTTTTTTTTCATTTTTTCCCAAGAGCCCTCAATGTGATCCAAGAGACAATCCATGTTCTTAAGAAAATGAATAGAGATTCAAAGGATTTTGTTGCATTTTTATTCAATCATTTTCCTCACCAAACACTTCATTTTATCGTAACAATCCATTCGTGTGCATACTCCAATAATAAATAATGAAAATCATTTCATATTTTCGGTATAACGAGATTTTTGTCCTAATCATCACACTCGAGTTTCTGCTTTCAACAAAACTATTTTTAACTTCTCTTCCCTATCAAGAAAGTTATCCATTTTATTTATCGTGTTTTTCTTTTACACGTCCCTTAGGAAAATTAAAGAATATTAAACTGAAGAGAAAAATAAAATCTGACGTCCAATTTTTATGCCGAGCTTATTTTTCTTTTGAATGTAGCAAAAGGAACATCCATTGAATTTATTGACAATTCAAACAATATGGTATGAACAATCTCTTCCAATAAAAGATTTCTTGAGGATTCATTTTAATTTGTTGGCGTTACAAAAATGTCTGTTTTAATGCCGGACTCTATAGTTACTCCTAAGTTCTGTAGCTGGTGGGATATGTTTCCACCAAGTTTGCTTACGTTCAATAATTGGTTCAATCTAATTTGTTAACGTTTGATTGTGTTAATGAGGACCGATTTATAGTATAAGTTATGAGTTCAATCAAATTTTAAATATATATAAGAAAAAAGATAAATATATCCTCGAACTATCGTAAATGGTATGCAGATATCCTTCCTCATACTTTAGGGACGTTGGTGCCTCTGTTGTCCAAAAAACTAAAGCATATATACCTTTTACACCGACAAACATACACGTGTCATAATTTTATACCGACCTGACATCGGATCGATGAATAAGATTGTATCACGTGTCCCTATTTAGTCTTCCGCTACACTCTAGTTTTTGAACGACAGTGGCACCAATATGTTCCAAAAGTATGACCGAGAGTATCTGCGTATCATTTACTATAGCTCGAAATATATTTATCCTTTTTTCATATATTAATATTTATCTGTGTCTCTGTGAGCATTTAAGTGCCAAAAACTGTAGATAATGTAATCCACCACATTTTTTCATCTACAAAAAAAATATATTTTTTTTTCTATAAATTTGGGTTAGGCCAAAATAAAGCAATTTATCATTTTTCCATAGGCAGTGGCGCATAAATTTACTCTGCTGACATGATACTTAAATAGTAAATACTCTTTTTGCGTAAACTCGTTCACATTATCGATCTCATTTCTCAAATTCAGATAAAGGATACGATAGGTAACATTGGCAAAAACGATAATCAACTCATAATAAAAATTGAAATTTAAATAAAAAAACGATAAAAATTTATATAATCGAACCCGACTTATTTACAATTATTATTGCTAAGTTAATCATAATAATAGTGAAAGGCAACTAATAATGGAAATTAATGATGTTCCTGTTGACTTCACTAAAGTCCACCAATTCCACTTCCTTATGTGGGTTTTCCCTATTTAGGCTGCTTCATTTTGTAGAAAAAATATATTTTAAAAATATATACACCGTCAATATAAAAAAAATATTACATTTACGAACTCACTCGAAGAATATTTACAAATAAACTTGCTTAATGTGTAAAAATAAAATAAATCATCTGTTACAATATATAAACGTAAAATATAACCTGATAATTTACACTAATACGAGTATATATATATGTTAAAACCCACTTATAATCTTCTTTTATGGTGGAGACCCCATAAAAACCAACACATATCATTTATATAACCTAACTAATTAACAAAAAAAATCTTTATATAACCCTAAATATAGCAACATAAATTTCTAGAGTTAACTTCTATAATACAAACTCTCAAGCAATATTTTCTTTCTTATCCTTTCTTTCTTTTTGGGAGTTGTGCCATATATATGAAGTTATTGTGTTTCAATATGAGGAAATTATTAGTGTTTATGTTGATTATAATCATGTTTTGTTCTTGTTTGGGAGATGCATATCCTAGAAAAGCCTTAATTGGAGGAGAGGGACTTGAAGAACATGTAATGGACTATGGAGTTGGATTTGGTGCAAGGAAAAAGTATATATACCCCGATCGCGATGTAGATAATCATCATAACATACCAAGAGAATATTTCGGTCAGAGAGGAGATAACTCTTCTGGTGATAGTGGTGGTGCTGGTGATAATAGTGATAACGGAAGAGGTTGAGCTTTGCATGTCTTGCAACTATGAATAATGATGTTATACGTATTAGAAACTATGTATGTGTGTTTGTCTACCTTCCGTTCTATGTAATATTAAACGCGAAGGGAGCGCTTTATCTCTAATGCACCTACTCGATGTAAATTTGTGAATCTTAATAGTAAGTGTTTTACTCCTTACTTGTCCTCGTAAAAAATAGAAATAAAATTTGCGTATACTTTATTCTTTTCCACCCTGGTTGTGAATCTTTTCCTTAATCAATTAACCAAAGGTCTAAATAGGGTTAACAAATTGCCCATCTCGGGGCGCGAAAAACGAGTCTACATCTCGATATGTTAGAGTCCTTTCAATCCAACTTCCCATTTCCAAAAAATTGGTACTTTTATGTGGAATACTGAGCAAAGAATGTTACCACAAATCAATTTCCCTTATGTTGCAAATCTCTCCACAAAATTTTTGAAGCAGTAAAGGAGGAATCAGCGCGACGTCACAAACTACTTCATATACACAAAATGCTGAAACATAAGCACTTGTATCAATTGGAAATACAAAAAAAAAAGTTTACAGATGTGACGATTGCATTTCTAGAGGTAACGAAAAATTATACAGAACCTTCTTTTCACTTGAAATGAAGCTGCTCTATACACGAACTATGCAGCGAGTTGGTATAAGAGAGCTAAAAGCCAATATTTGAACGTAAAAATCGGGTTATTACCAGATGTTACTCCTGTAACTATGCATAGGAGAGGAATATCACAGGTGGGGTCGTCACGGGGTGTTAGAACTGTTAGAATGCTCAGGAGAAGATGAGGCACATGGAGAACGGGAACTCTTGCACCTCCGGTTTCTTGGATATGGATGCATGTTCGCCAGTTCACTGACTCGATGCAGGACAGACTTTGGCAAAGGTCGCCAAGACAGGTTATGTTTACCCTTTTCCTGCATCAATGATAATCGGGTCAAATATCATATGAGAAAAGTAAGCTCTCTGGAATAAGGGAGAAGTTTGAACAATGTCAAGCACTCCATGTTGCTATATTATCCATCAAACGAAGTGGCTAGACTAAACAACATATACCAAAACCAGCATATATTATAGATTCTTGTGTGTTAAGCTTCCTACTAACTTTGACGAGATCGACTCATGCTACTTGAAACCGAAAATGCAACGAAACATGAATAAATAAGTTGAGCAGAAATTATACTCAAATTACACTCCACTATACAACAATCTGATTTCACCAACATAATTTAGTATTACTATTGACTCTAGTGCGCACAAACACAAACAAAAAAATTTCAAAACAAATAAAAATATGATGGCTATACAACAACATACCCTATGTAATCCCACAAGTGGAGGGTCCGGGGAGGGTAATCTGTAATTGAAGTAAGCTGTAGTAGTAAAACTGAAAAATAAGATACTATGTGCATACCAGATAAGAATACTAAAAGATGAGAAAAAGAGACCAGTTCCCTGCTTCTCCCCCAGAAAAGTGCTACAACACGTTGCTACCTATTACTCTTCTACCCTAATCTCATCAGCCTCCAAAACTTCTTATCTAGGGTCATGTCCGCAGAATGTATGATGGCTATACATACAAAGTAATTCTATAACAGAACAGCAAGAAACTATTGCATCAAGTTTAAAAGGCTCATAATTGATGATTCACAGCAAACATCAAGCATTATTAATCAAATTCAAATAAATACTCACCGTTGATTTGCTTTGTTTCTGTAGATAAGTTGCTTTAAGAAGATTCCTCCATTTATCCTGCAAGACGTATGAGCAACAGAGTGCCGACTTTAGGTAAGTAGCATGCAAACACTAGATGATGCATGGTGTTTCTTGACTCGTCTGGTTGAAGAATGCCTGATAGTGGCCATTGTGCTTACCTTGAGATCCACAGGTGTTCTATGAACAGATGATGAGAAATAGAGCTTCTTTATGTGACTCCATCTTCCAACTCCATATTGGGCAACTCCATCAATCAACTTTCTAACCTCTGAAACAGTCCAGAGCCTGTGATGTTTCCTCCGCACACCATCTTGTACCAACTTCTTTGGTGTAACATCATCATCTTTATGATTCACAACTGTAGTAGCCTCCTTATGAGGAGGCTCCTCCTTGTGAGGTTTGAAAACCTTCAAGGAGATCAACTTTTATGTTAAGGAAAATACTAACTGAAGATTAAAACGTTACTAAAAAGTTGCAAAAAGATCGGGGGTAGGTATGTAGAGTATCGTGATATGCTCAATAACAAATTGGCATGGAAGATCACCCTTGTTTCAAAAAGTACCTGAACTTACCACCTTGGGACTTCCACGTTGGAGGTCTCAAGTTCGAAACCCCTTGCCAGCGAAAGCAAGGGGTTTGCCTTCTGGTTCGAGCTCGTCGCACTAGGCTTGCCTAGTGCGGGTTATCTCTCCTATGAGGTTTGCGAGCTATTGCATAGGAGCAGGGTTTTACCTGTGTGCACCCATAAAGGGTAGCGGCTGCGGGTTTCCCTTGTCGTCCAAAAAAAAAGTTCAAGCAAGCATAGTATTACAGAGACTCTCATTCATTTTGAGTTTTGAACAAGTTGTCAACAAAGATTGGTTGGTTAAATGTTATTTGTGAACCGACTTGCACAACCGAGATTATAAAACTAGCCTACTAAGAACACCTTCAATGTGCTCATACATGGATGCAGTGCAAGGATCACATAAATGAAATTATAAATTTTGTTTCAAATTTATTTTGGAGTGTACCTGTATCGCATCAGATGCATCCCAATCATCACATTCTTCGTTCACGAGAGAGGCAAAAGGCACTTGAATAGCTTCGTAAGAAGACTCTTCAGAAAACAATACCATTTCCATAGACTCTGCACGAGGTTTCTTCTGACATCTGACTTTGAGAAGCTTATTCTTTGATTCTGCACCACTAGTAGAAACCTCTGCTCTTTTCTTGCGACGCTTAGCATTAAGGTTTGACGATTCATCAATATACCTTCGTGTAGGCTTACGCAGACGCTTTTGAGTGACAGGAGTGTCGATGTTTATTGCTTCAGAAGTGACTGGAGGGCTTATTTCAGAGGATTCATGCATATCAAAGCTTTCACAGTTTACATCTTGCCCCTCATTTTGTGTAGCAGTAGACATAAAAGAAATTCCGTTAGATGTTAGCGCAGAATGGTCAATCATGCTGTCATTCATCTTCTCAGAAGCTGCAGCTTCAGCAAAGAAGCCTGCCACATCATCCACATTGCTGATATCTCCTGGATTGAAAGCAGTAGGGAATTTCACAGCATTGTACTCAACTAGCATCTGACTTTCACACTTGTCACGAGAAAGGTCATGCAACTCTGAATTGGTAAGGCCAAACATAGCATTCTGACTTTGAGATTCTTGCACAACTAATCCCGCAGAGTATGGCATTCCACAGGTGTCAGTTCCATCACAACTAGATAATGGAATCTGACTTTCTAATATAGGGTCCAGCAATCCTCTACTTGAACCATAATCCAGATTTGTGATGCTTTCAGCAAATTCAATATCTGTTTCCCAGAAGACCAGAAAGAATTGTAGCTGTACTTGATATACAATATTTTTTTGTAAAAATAAAAGCAGCATAACTTACGAGAACTGTTACCTAACAGATAATCTTCACATGGAGTGGAAAGATCATTTTGTGCTTGAATTTTTCCAGCCTCAAATTGACTTCGCTTTAGATCAAGGACCTGGCACAGTTACCAGGTAATTCAGCAAAGACAAAAATCTCAAGATAGTAATGATTGAAGGGGAAAAAAACTCGAAACAGACAACATGCGAAGGAAAGGAACTCCCACAACCAAGAGAGTCAGAGAGCAATAGGAAACAACTTGCGGATTCCAACGACAAAAGAAAAAGAAATCTACTCAAGACCTGCGAAACAACTTCGTTATACATCATAATGTCAAAGCAATTTCAACTTTGAAGAAAAAAATCCTTGATGTCTAACTGAAGCATGCTGGTGGAGCTGTGTTTAATCTCCTAGGGGAAAAAAAAGAGCCATACCATCTCAAATTGATAGTCAAGACTACTGACACTCCCTAATACTCTAACATTTCAATCAATATATTCCTTTAGCTGAACGAGGATATTCATTCATTAGACTATACTTGTTTATATTATCAAGTTATCATACTTCTTTCAATTAGACAAAGATGTGTTTCTTTTTGTAAGCTACAATGGAAGATGAAGTTCAGCTGGTGCTGTGGGAAGCAAATGAGGAGACATAAGGCGCGAAGGTTGCCCCACTCGCGCGTATATGGGTTGTGTCATGTGTGGAGCGAGAGGGAAAAATAGAAGCGCTTTTAAAGGGTAGAGTACTTTTATACACTTAGGGTAGTCTGGTTGGGAACAAGTTAATCCAAAATCAATTGTCCTAGGTATAGCTATCCTAAGATAACTTATCCCTTATCCCACCATGTATATTGGACAACTTATCCCATCACTATGGTATAAACGTGGGACAAGTTACCCAAATAAGACAACCAAACAAGACACCAAAATTTTATACCAATTCTATTTATTTTTATCCCTCAGACCAAACGACCCATAAGGAATAGCCTCGTGTCCCTTCTCGCTGGTGCAACCATGAGGTCCTGTCAGCAAAGATGATGAATCTGTGTCATTTGTAGGGAACCGTCTGTTATTACAGGTTCTTTACTTATGGTATATTACTTCTATAGGGTATTTCCCAACTATCACTAAAATTTATTACTTCATCCAAAAGAGGTAATATCCCGTACAGTTTCATGCCTTCAGGAAGACCATCAACTCTCCTTCCAGGACTTATATCTAGACTAAAAAGAGGGAAGGTAAATGCTAAACAAGATACGAGACAAACTTCTTCATATGCATAAAAGGAAAGAAGGCGACACAAACTTCTTGATATGCACAAAAGGAAAGAAAGGTGACAAAACTTCTCCATATGCATAAAAGGAAAGAAAGGCGACAAAAACTTCTCATATGCATAAAGGAAAGAAAGGTGAGACAAACTTGATAAGGTATTTACAGAGGTACAAAAAGATACAGGCTCTTCCAAAAGGAAAATAGGGGACAACAGCTTTTTATTTTGATATGCAATTGCGACCGAAATTCTAAATTCCTGATTGGGCCAAACAAAACTAGGAAAAGCAAAAAACATGTGGCATAAAAGTGTTAACAGATGAGGCAAATCTCTTAAAGCCCAAGAAATTAGTAACTCGATTTTCCATAATATTACAAAAGCGATTTAACCGAAAGAGAAGCTCACATACATCTTGGTTAATTTCATTTTCTCTTTTAGATGCAATACTGGAACCTGAGAACCACAAAAAGGAACTATAAGAAGTGATCATAGCATAATTATAGATAAACTATAACAGTCAAAAGACCAAGGGTTATATTTTCTTTTTTGAAACAGAAGACCAAGGGTTATATTATATATTATACTATACGCCAAAGCGACCATCTTTCCAAGGATTACAGAAAAACATGAGATGACATACCTATATTGTACAAAGCACCTTTCCTTTCCATGCCCTTTAATACCCTCTTCTCATCAAAACACAAGACACCAGAGATAGAAGCATGATCATCACGGGTTTCTAAAAGCAACATATACCAAAAATCATATCATCTTCTAAAAAATGAATAACAGGTTCATCTTGTATGAGCGAAGAATCAGTAATTACAATACCACAAAAACGTAAGAAAACAAATCATCATAACATGGTGAGTGATTTTTTTTATGAGATATGCTGGTCTGAGGTCTCAGCACATAATATTCACTCTGCACAAGGATTGGATTCTTTTTCCTTTTTATGGCGGATAAGAATTGGAATCATGCTGCAGGAATTAATTCCAATTGTGCTTTCTGTTGTATAAGTCACAATACATGTACATCTAGAAGAATGAAGTTCACCTCTAGCGACTTGCAGAAAAGGAAAAATATGTAAGATAACACTACATAAAATCAAACTTCTTTTTTTTTTTGGTTTTCCATCCGGTGTTCGGTACCCACATTGGATCCCGACTAAATCCACATTCGCACCGGGAAGTCCCACATTGGGGGGTAGAGCACCCCCTAACAAAGGCGACTCCGTACCCAAGGGGACTCGAACCCGAGATCACTGGTAGGAGTACTTACAAATCCAACAAAACCCTTGTTGGTACATAAAATGGAACTTACGGGCACAGTAAAGTAAACCAAAAGAACCCGATAGCTGATACTATCATCAGACATACAAAAAGCTAAACAGAACATATTTGACTAGGTATTCTATTTAGCCTCTTTTTAAGTATTTTATTTTATGGGGTCATCTACACACCATTACAACTGAGCAATTCCTCTCTGCATATAAGTTAAGCTTGGAATCACAAACTGTGGCACCTGAACTGCCTATAGAACACCAATGCAGGTTCGGGTGTCAAAACTTACCGCCTTGGTCAATCTAAGTAACTGTCAAAATAGACATAACTCCAGCTGCCATTAAATCCCAAAACAGAACAATCAATGTACCAAAATTTCATATTCATCTGGATTTAACAAGAAAGAACAAGGTAATGACTTCCTTAGATCATAATAAACTAGTAACACAACATAATTAGAAAAGCCTATAAAGTGCATCCGCGTCAATCATAAATGGGAAAATGAACCTGAATCACATAAGCAAGACAAAGGAAAAACAAAGCAACTTAACAAGGAATATACTAGTTCATGTGAAGTAACAAGTAGTTTGAAACTCTCAAACAATGAGACAATTAACATTTGCACCAGCACAAAGCATCCACAGTGCAAATTAGTATATCGTTGATGCACTAGTTAGTACCTGATTCATCAAACCAGACCCCTAGAGAAGCAAAACCACTTCTATATGCTGAATTCTGCAAACAGAGATGGAAATATTTTAGGACACTTTCGCAGACTAAGGTAAATACATGCATAGATGTAGCAGATTAAGTAAAAAGAAAAAGAACCTCGGACTAACTCGCCCCAAAAACCACTTAAGTAGACACCAACTCATACCTCAACCCAAAAAGCTAGTTCATGAGGGAGGGCTGTTTAAGACCATACAAGGAGACAATAAACCATCCCCTCAACCAATGCAGAACATTCTAACAGACTTGTGTCCAACATTAGATAGATGTCTAATATGTGCCTGTAAAAGCATTTAGGTGTAAGATAAAATTTATTTCCATCTCCTCTCCTGTTCCATTATTTCTCAGAACATACACAGTATTCGACGGTGAAAGGATTTGTGTCAGCGACACTGTGTAGGCAGGTCGTACATTAAGGGCAGTATTTAGGAAAGTGGGCTTACTGTGAAATATTTTTTAAAACCAATGTTTCAAAAACTGTCCTAAAAAAATAAATTTGAACACAAGAAAGATACACACTCAAGAAACTTGTAAGCTTTAACGAGAACAATAGTTCCAAAATCTTTGAGCTAGCGTTGAACATCCTAGAGACAGGTGCAACAAATTTAAGAAATTAGCTTTAAAAATAAATAGACTTTGCAGTTTGCACCAAATAACCATCGAATTCGTAAAAGAGTTCAAAATTGCAGATCATTGACAGAATTCATCTAGAATCGCCATGATTCACTAATAACCCTGCCAATAGCGACGTCATTTTCAAAATGAGAATGACAGGAATGTTACATGTAATTAGCAGTCTATTTGTTTTTTTTGGATAAATCGGTAAAGTAAATTATACATCCCTTTTACCATTTTAAGCATTTCACTCTTTTCAAACTTATGGGAAAACATTATCTTTATCAAGATTGTTTTTACCCCTCGCGAATTGCAAAGACATTCTGCTCCACAGACCAAAACAATCACTAATTGGGTACAATCATAGTCAACATTTTCAAGTGTATGTGTTTCCATTTCTCAGCCCAACAGAAGGAGCTACCAAAAACAAGCTTCCAGCCTTGCTTTTGTTTGCCTTGGGTGCAGGGGTGGATATAGTAAGGTCGAAGGGGTGTCACGTGACACTGCTTCATTGGAATTATTATATATATATGTATATATATATAACACAAAGGATATATTGAGTAAAGTAGCAAGTAGCTCTGTTGGTTTGGTGTTTCATTTCCACAAATGAGGTTGTGTGGTCGAATCTGCATAGCCTCAATTAACATTTTATACACAGCCTCATTATAGTAAAGCTGTGCTTTTGTTGTGGTCCTTTTTATGTTTTTTTCCCTTTATCGTTCTTTCTCACCAATAAAATCAATAAGGAACAATTTATGAAATTCAATGAATAATAAATTATTTACTGATCATTTGCTGCCCTGTATAAAAAGATATTTAGTACTATTATTTCTAATGATGTGATTTTAAGTACATTTCGGAAAAGGAAAACTCATCGAGAAAAATTTATAGTATTTTTTTTTGTTATTTTAGAAAAGAAACAATAGTATACGTGAATTGTGTTTTATTTGTGTTCTATTCCTTTTTAATAGGTTGTTAAACTAGTTGCCCCCAAGGCCTAGCTCGAGTGGCAAGAGGTGGAGGATTTATGGCTTAGGTCGCACGTTCAAGCCCCACACCATACCATGCAAAGTGAAACCTGGTATTTAAGTGGAGAAGGGTAGAGGGGCAGGCCCATTATCCACCGAGTTTAAAAGGCTGTGATTGATCGAAAGGGCGGGTGACAGACGGATTTCTCAGTTATCAAAAAAAAATAATAGGGTGTTACATTAGTTTATTTACTGTTTCTCATGTTAAAAAGTGACACTTCTGACGAAAAATCTGTGTACGTCACTGCTTGGGTGATAGGGAAGTTATAGGGGATGTAGGAAAAATAGGGAAACACGAGTTGAGCAATGCATCTTCAGAGAAAGGAAAATGCTCTGGAAGGGAGCTTTCAACCTTAATCTTTTTCATTCGTGAAAAAAGGAAACTTAAAAGGTCAGTCTTGGAAAGGAAAATAGGGGAACACAAGTTGAACAGTGTCACCAGAAAAGGAAACGTTTTGACCCCTTAAATTTCCTGTACTTTGGATGGAGCCTAAGACTTCCATATAAATACAAAAAGATCTTCATAATTCCAAGGAAGGAATGCACTTCAAGAAGGAATTTCTCAGTGCTATTTTTTTATCTACAATGTATTCTTCTTAGTTGATCTCTATCCTATTTTATCGAGTGTCATTGTCCATTAATCACTTAGTTATTCATGGGATAAAGAATTAAATAACTCAATAGACTTAAATAACTCTAAAATGTATCAGTAAATAACATTCAATTATTGATACCCAATATTCAAATGCTTTTTCAAGCACATACAACTGAAAAACTCTACTAAGCAATAAAAAGATGGTTTCCTCCTTCATCTCTATCAATTTACTCTAAATTTAGAAAAAAGGGCTAGCAAAAAAACGAAATTGAGCAGAAATGTCTACATACATGAACCCTTTTGAGTCCAGTAACTCGCAAAATGAAAAAAAGGCTACATTTTCTGCCAACACACAAAAATTCCCTCAATCCGTTCAAACCATACATTAACGTCTTCCAACATTCGCACAGATTACATAATGTAGTGTACATAGGCACAATCATAGTACAAGAAAGAACATAAAAATTGACAAAGAAACCAATCATACTAACCTGATTCATCAGTAAAGAGAAACAATTATAGTGAGAATGTAGAGTGGAAGTGTGTGTCATTCAATACATAAAAAGATGGTTCATCTCTTCACTGCTGTTACTCTAAAGTTTGGAAAAGGGCTATAAAAGACCCAATATTGAGCAGCAATTATAACATGCACGAGTCCAGTAACTTGCCATACAAAATCTGCTTTTTCCGTCGAACACACACAAATTCCACAAGCCCTTCTTGTAACCATACATCAGTGTCTTGCAAAAAATTCCACATAGGCACAATCACAGTACAAGAAAGAAGATAAAAATTGACAATGATTATCAAAAACACTAGCCTGATTCATCATTCAACTGTAATGAGAATGTAGAGTGTGAAACTCTCTCTCTCTCTCATTCAATTATTAAAAAGATGGTTTCTTTCTTAATACTTCACCTCTATCACTCAAAAGAGGTACCAAAATATCATAAACTGAGAGGAAATTCAACATGCAAGTACCCTTTAAGTCCAGCAACTTGCAACACAAAAATAAAGACTACATCTTTACTACCAAACCACAATTCCCACAACCCCTTTTAACCATACACAAATTCCATCAAACAACATAAAAATTGACAAAGAAAACCAAAAACAATAACCTGCCTCATCAATCAATTAACACAAAAATGATTACTTTCTGAGCTCTTCACCTCTATTACTCAAAAGGGGAACCACAAGATCATAAATTGAGCATAAATTTAACATGCAAGTACCCTTTAAAGTACAACTACTTGCAACACAAAAATAAAGACTACATTTTCACTACCAAATTCCACAATTTCCACAACCCCTTTTAACCTTACATCAATGCCACACACAAACTCCATCGAAGAACACAAAAATTGACAAAGAAAACCAAAAACAATAACCTGACTCATCATTCAATTAACATAAAAAATGGTTACTTTCTGAGCTCTTCACCTCTATTACTCAAAAGGGGTACCAAAAAATCAAAACTTGAGCAGAAATTTAACATGCAAGTGGCCTTTTTAAGTCCAGCAACTTGCCACACAAACATAAAGACTTCATTTTAACTACCAAATTCCAATATTTCCACAACCGCTTTTCACCATTAATCAATGCCACATACAAATTCCATCAAACAACACAAAAATTGACAAAGTAAACCAAAAGCACTAACCTGATTCATCATTCAATTAACATAAAAATGGTTACTTTCTGAGCTCTTCACCTCTAAAATCAAAACTTGAGCAGAAATTTAACATGCAAGTAGCCTTTTTAAGTCCAGCAACTTGCCACACAAACATAAAGACTTCATTTTCACTACCAAATATCACTATTTCCACAACCCCTTTTCACCATTCATCAATGCCACACACAAATTCCATCAAAGAACACAAAAAATTGACAAAGTAAACCAAAAGCACTAACCTGATTCATGATTCAATTGTAGTGATACTTTAACTCAACTATGTGTCTATGTGTGTATTAACAAATAGAAAATGAACAGAAAAAAAAAGGGGAAAGTAAAGGGGTCGCAGGTACAATACAACCATTTATGGGACGGATTCCAAATGAGTTATATGTTGTTGTCAGTTTCGTTTTTAGTGTTTTGATGAAATCTTGAATTTCAAGTCCGCTACGGTGGAGTTGCACACTCTTGAATTGCTACGTCTCTTTTGCTTTTGACACGTGGCACTTCCCCTTTTTTTTGCAATTATAGAGGGGATATTAAAGTATGACATTTTTTTGGAAAAAAAATATTTCAATAATTTATAATATCTAATTTGAATTGATAATTTGATATTATATATGATTTTTTGATATTATTTTTTTTAGCATGTTTTAAAATGAATCATTGTTTATATTTGGTAATTTTTAATTCTAAATATGTCATGTGATGTATTTAAGATTGTAATGTAACATTTAAAGAATATTTTATCATATTAAACATATATTGGATATTGAAATATAAAAAAAAATTGTTTTTTTAAGTTACATATATAAATAAATTAAAACACCTAAAATAATTTTTTTTAAAATGTATATTTATGCATGTAAAATTGAAATTTGCGTTCACCCAAAAGATGTAGAAAACACAAATCTATTCTTTGGACACAAAAAGCTTCAATATTCAGCCTTTAAAATTGGACCATAAGTCCCTTTCACCTTATTCGAGTCTCGTGTTTTTGATTAGCAAATCAGAAATAATAAAAATTAAAAAAAATATATTTGAATTTGTAAAATATATTGTGCGTTATTAAGAAATTTAATCTCTTCGAGTATTTGAGGTTGCAGATTAATTTATCTTAAGATAAAATAGATTAATCATTAAAGAAGTAGTGACTGATCACTCGAATTTTTATAATTTGAACGAACTCAAAAATACAATTACGAGATCTCATACACACGATCAATTTTGTTTGTAAGAAATGTATACAGCAGAAGAAGGAAAGAATTTTATGCAGAAAAATGAGACAGAACTTCTTTATTTATAGCCAACAAAGGATAGTATGAATGGTGTTTATTGTGTCTTATCAAAAATGTCACAATCTTTAAGAAAATACACAACTTTTCGAAGCACAACATTTCGTAAAGATTCACAACCCTTCGTAAAAGTCGAAATCTTGAGTCACAACTACTTATTTTCATAAAGGCTGATCTAGATTCACAACTTTTTAAAGGCTGATCTAGATTTTTTGATAAAAATTAAACTCTAATCTCACATAATTTTCATTTCACTTCGTTAAACATATTTATAAAATCTCCTTTCTAGGATCCCTAACGAAAGCTTAGTCCATCGGACTTTCACTTTATTTATCGAAAAAATCATCCCTTTCTCCTATTCCATCAATGAACAAGCTACTTTAGCAGTGTCAAAAAACCTTGTTGTAATATACATTATATGCCAAAAGCCCCTAAACCTATGCCTTTTTTTTTTTTTTAATCTTGTTGTAAACAACAAATATATGTTAAGAAGAAAAAAAAAATTGTTTATTTCTTTTTAATACAGACTAAACAAACATAAGCTATTAAACGACTAACTACACCAGTGAGAATCAGTAAAATTAGAGAAGTATTCCAGCTATGCACATCAAAGCCTAGCTCCAATAATTTGCCACATCTTGCTATCAACCATACTCCTGAATATCTGAAGAGAAACAAAAAAGATAAATTAGCGACTTCCGATAAAGGGACAACAATATTTTTGAAGAGTCCGAGCAATATAGCCAACATAGCCGAACCTATGAGAAAATTCTGATTAGATGTGATCAACAAGCAAAAAGACAAATATATGAGAGACCATGTTAATCTAATGTGATCAATAACCAAACCTATATGTTGCTTTTGACTCTTTAAAAATGTCTAACGGGTGCGTGTCGGATCCTCCAAAAGTAGTGCGCTTTTGGAAGATTCGACCTGAGTATGACAATATTTTTGGAGAGTTCGAGCAACGTAGCCAAATAGATGGAAAATGCCAACTTAATGTGATCAACAACAATCGGAAATCTTTGTTGCCTGGACTCTTCAAAATTGTCTAAGGGGTGTATGTCAGATCCTCCTAAAGTAGTGTTTTTGAGGATAAGACACGGGGTATGATGATATTTTTGGAGGGTCCGAGAAACATAACCAAACATATGACAAAATGCTAGCATCATTGTGATCAACAAAAACAGGAAATATATGTTGATCGGACTCTTCAAATGTTAGTCGGGCACGTCCCAGATCCTCCAAGAGTAAAGCATTTTTGAAGGGCACGACACCGGTATAATAAGATTTTATGAGAGTTCAAGCAACATAGCCAAAAATTGGTCATTCTATTTGTTTGATAATGTCAGAGTGAAGGTTTTCTTGAAAGTTAAAAACAAAAAGGCCAAAACAGATTGCTTATTTATGCCTTCTATGGACAGGGAATAAATGATGTAAAGGCAATAGTATAAATTTCTACAGCATTGTGAATGGTGAAAACTGAAAAGCATGTTAAAATTTCTGAGAGCTGGTGCTATCAGAGCATCAATTTATAGTTTCCTAAGTATCGATGCAACAAAGCCTACTGACAAGAATACAACCTCAACTCTTAAGAGTGTCAATGAGGGAGCAACAAATATATACTTCCGCATTATGATCTAGCAGTTCACAGAAACCAGAGGAGAATATGAACTACCAACCTCTGGGCACTTGCAACGACAAATGCTTCCAAAGCCCACCTTGGGTAACAAAACTTAGCTAATTTTCCGGCAGTACTGTCTGGTTCCTGGTTTGCAATGAGAGTCAAAACAACAGGAACAAGAACACACCACTGTTCGAATGGGGCAAGAAGAAGCTTGTCAGCATAAAGAGTCAGGAAAAAGAAATACATCATAATAATGGAGAACGTGACTGTGGTACATACCAATTGTGCCTGTCCAGGTGCAAAGCAGATGGCAAACACATAAGCTATTCCAGTCACACAGTATACGAGGCAGAGGAAAACGAGGTAGTTGGTGCCAAAGGATGATCTTGGACTATTTAAGAAATAGAACATAGACAGGTAAACCAAAGGCTTTATAACAGTATTGAAATGGTCTATTGTATCCTTAGAAAGGAAATAAGCTAGACTGCTCATGCCACTTTCTCTCTCTCTCCAGTATTCTAACTTGTCTAATGAAAAGGATCTCAATGCTGCAATCTTACAGAGGAGTGCTGCAATTCAAGAAGCATCATGAAATTAGGAGTGACATTAAGCAGGTAAAATTGCGAGTATATTGAACAGAATAGCACAACACATTTGAGCACCGTGAAGTCTCAGGTTAAAATCCCAGCATAGTAAAAAAATTAGGTGATTTCTTCCCATATGTGACCTGGTACCTGTTGCTGGGTGGGAGGTGACAGATATCTAATGGAATTAGCCGAGGTGCGTACAAGCTGACCCAGACACCACGGATATCAAAATAAAAAGGTGTATTACAAATAATAGATGTATATATGTGGTGAATATACAAGTGTTCTTTTGATTTGAGACAATCAATTAACTTTGAATCATATTGCCTAGAAAGTAAAGCAAGTCAAATCCACCCATATCTAAGAAAAATATATTCAGCTAGAAGATGTCTTGGTTTCAGATTCAGCAAGTAGTCCACTTACACACAGCAATGATACTATACGTATAGCCGGAGTATCCAAAGGTGTCACCCTTCTGGCTGGATAGGATTCCTAAGCATGCTCCAGCAACCAAGAGGATTAAATAATCTGCTGCTTGTATTTGAGCTTCTCGCAATCGCTGTTTGCCAACCCTGAAGAATGTACATTATAGTATAATAACTTACGTCAGAAAACTGTGACAAGCTTCATCATTGCATTATACCAATGTCTCTTTCTCCCTTGATTATTTGTATAATTTTTTTTTAGTTCTATCAAGTTTCAGACAAACCAATTAACTGCTCCCATTTGACCAAAGATTTTGAAGTTGAAACATATATCGAATTAACTTGAAGTTGTGTTTGGACATGCATTTTACTAAGAAAACATATGAAGTTTTGATCAATTTTCAAAATCTGATCGAATTTTATGGGCCAAACAGATATTTGAAGATAAATCTTCAATATCTGATCCAACATCTTTGAATAGCTTAATCTCTGTGTTACTTCTCTCGCCAGTTGTTGGACCAGAGAGAGTGGCAGAATTTTAGCTGCATAGATTTTCATGTCATGACTCTTGTTAGTAGTCACTGACAATTTTAGAATGAAGAGTGCAGTAGGGGAAATATAACATGAATCTGGATAGCATAAGATACAATACCTTCCAAGATAATATCTATACTGCCGGTTTACGCCTGGAGTGTTTCTATTAGACAAGTCATGGGATTTTAACAAGCCATGAGACAGAGAATCTCGCTTCTCATGCCATGCTTCAACAGAAAAAGATTGGTCAGGAGCTGATGCAACACCCTTGGAGGACATTGCAATCTGATCGCACAATTGCATCATATCTGGGGGTACAGGGTAACCATTATGAAGCATCCATCGGACAGGAAGTTGTTCCACGGTCACACCTCCACCTGGTTTGACCATACCCTCAAGGACGTCAATGAAATGGTCAGGAGGATTTACACGATCTGGTACTGCGATTCCCAGATTTGCAAAGTATTCTTCTGCTTTCT